AAATGCCTTCCTAGTGTCCCCTGTCTTTGCTGGTAATGTCCTTCTGCCTATAAACTAAACTGTATTAAATAAACTAAGCTTAACTAAACAAAACCAACTAAGATGAAAAAGATGAATTAAAGTAGAACTAAAATTAAACTAACAAACTAAATTATAAACTTAAAACTAAATAAAAGCAATACCAGCCGTCCAGAGAGAGTTCTGGAGAAAGTAATATCTGAGATGGGCGACCAACCTTATTGTTACCCTTTAACTGTTGTTCAGTTTACTGGTGTAGCTATCTTTGCTTTCGCAGAACATGATGGTTTCAGCCGCATCAGCAGTTGCAATGGCAATCCGGCTTACCTACCTGAACTTAAAGGCAAACGAGGGAGTTTTGCCGTCCGACGCGGACTTATTTCAACCCCTAGTGGACGAACCGGTGGATGTCCCTGTGCTGCCTAACGTAACCTTCAAATTCTCGCGGGACGGAGACACCTATTTTGACTACTACGACTTCTACTTCTTCAGTCTGAATCCGCGTGTTACTATTGGGCCATTCGATCACGTTCAGGCGCCTTACGATGAGATTTTCCGACTCTCCTCCGTCGTGGTGTGGCCTTTGACACACCTCGTCGACGTGATACCAAAGGTCTGGCCAAATGGAAGCAACGGACCGAAAAGGAATTACTGCCTACAGACAGGGTGTGATGAATGTACGTATTATATTTAATTATTTCTACCGTTGGGCAGCGTTTTCGTAAATCCTGCAGCTAGGTACGATGCTCTGCAGATAATTATGACGCCTTCGGTGCTGAGGATTTGATTGCCATCAATCTGACCCATTGTGAAAAAATATCTCAGCACTTTAATTATCCGCGCAAACTTCAGGATCGGCGCTAAAACCACGTCGCGCAAGTACTTGAAAGTGGGATTCGTGTGGCGTTTCGCTCCTTAATATACCCAATTACGAACGATAGAGAAGAAACCCTTAATAGAATGAAGATATTACGGCTAATAACTGACGGGTTTACTGGATCCCTGTCCGAATGGTGAGTCTATCTGTCGGATAGAAAGCGATCCACCATACCTCAAGTATACGTGCAGGGATACGCACATTTATTGGGTACACAGACGAATTTTCACCCTTACCTTTATCCACCTGTCAAGAGACGTTGCTATAGATAGAAATAAAATGAAGGTTACAAATGGTTCCAATGTAGTCACAGGCGTCATTGACTACGATAAAGCAACTATTACATAGTAAAATTATGTTTAAAAAAACAGATTTTCACAATGTGTTTCTATCAGTTTGGTCAACCGGATGTAAAGTACTGCGTATCAAAATTCAACAATAGCATGGCTGTGCTAGTCACTCAAACAGGGTCTTTTTTTCGAAATGTTCGACAAAAATATCCTAAGTATGATTGGACTACCATATACTATTTTAAAGATTATTTCCTGCTAACTTATGACAGTTTAGTTAAGTACTGGTGTCTACTGTGACGCACACTGAACATGTACCAGTCCTTAGAAGTTAGCACTGTCGGCACAGAAAATGGAATGG